ATATACAGTCGATCTTATGATTTTTTAATCTCTTATTATAAAAACGAAACTGATCTGTACATATTCTTGTAATAAGGATCGATGTACAAACGAATAGGGACGATGATCTCACTTATAATAATTTATAAGCAATCGTTAAGTCAGGGTAGGTAAAGATTTATTAAAAAAATTCTACTAACAATTAAAGTTCTGCACTTATACATCTTCTTATATAGATAAGGTTCTTCACAGTAATTATCAGTAGATATAACATATTCACTTCGTAAAAAAAATTCACTGTCAGAGATCGATTCAGTAACAATAGACAACACAATAGATACTTGTCTCACGTTTCGTAATCACGTCCTGCGTACGAAGTGTACACACTTATAATACCACACTACATATTTTTAGACGAATAAAAGGATTTGAATTTTTCAAAGTATGCGCCTGTCACCTCAGAAATTAAAATCGTTCTGTTTCAATAAAAAGAAAATATCATCGTAATCTTTGCAGTCTTTTCTTTTAAGAATTTATCAATAAATGTGATTTTTACTCGATGAAAATTTATTCGAGTAGAGATATCATTAAAAATAAAATAAAAATCGTTCAGATACGAGGAATAGAAATCCACAGTCACTCTTAGAGAAATCTCTACTGGTTCTGCTCCTTTTCTTGCAATTTCTGCGTGAAGTCCAGAATGATTTTCCTGACGGAAGTGATGGGCAGTGGCGGCAACGGTCCTGGATGCCGCTTCCTGTGACAGATCAATCCTGGTTTCTGTGCGAACTTCTGGCCGCATATATCACAAATGTACGGCCTGAGACCCGTGTGTATGAGTATATGTTGTTCCTGGGCGGTTTTCCTGGCGAACTTCTTGCAGCAAACCGGACAGTCGTAGGGCTTGATGCCCTCGTGTAGCCTCAGATGAATGTCCAGGTCCCTTTTCTGTCCAAAGATCTTCCCGCAGACGGGGCAGACCACTTTCTCCTTCTTGTTGTGCCACAGCATGTGTTGATCCAAGTTGTACTGCGTCGTCATGCAACGTTTGCATAGATCGCACTTGAAAGCTGGCTTGTTGTGCTTGTACTTCATGTGTGCCTTCAACGCGGGCATGCTTTTGCAAGCGTTGCCACAGACGGTGCAGAGTATCGGCGGCGCGGTATTGTGCATCTGCTTCGCGTGCTGGACCATGTCGTTCTTTATCTTGAACATCTTCCCGCAGGAGGAGCACGTGTGGTTGTATTTAGTGGTGTGCCTGCGGATGAAGTGGTCCCTCAGCGTCCACCTGTTCGCGCTCTTGTAGTCGCAGAACTCGCACGGGTGGAGCACCGGCCCGTGAGAGATCTCCATGTGCATCTTCACATCTCTCTTGATTCTGAACGTTTTGTCGCAATGGTCGCAAGCGTATCTGTGCACTTTCATGTGCGACGCCAGCTTCCGTTTACGTTCGAAGATCTTCCCGCAGTGGTCGCACTCCAACGACAACTTCTTCCGTTTATCGACCAATAAGTCAGTCTTTATATATAGGCTCCTGTTAACTTCGTTCTTCGCTGAAGATGTCTTCTCTGAATTAATTTCCGTTTTCTTCTCGGCTTGTTTCTTCCTTTCTGGCGTTTGCTTGATTTTTACTCTCATCGGTTCGATCGTTTCTAATGCTTGTTGGTTCGTTACTATTACTGGTACGGTTCTTTTTATTGCTTGTTTGTTCGTCACTATTACTGGGTTCGTTCTTTCCGTTTCCTGTTCGTTTATTTCTACGGTTATTGTTGTATCCATGGGTATTAGTTGTTTCTTCAATCGAATGGGCTTCTTGATGTCGATGAGTCTCCTCGTCTTTAGGCTTTCAGGCGAGACAAGGGAAAAGCTGTTCAATATCTTAATGACTCGAGTCCTCCGTTCACGTCGATCGTCTCTCGTTAGACTGTTGACGATCTTCTCTTCCAAGGGATTCATGTCGACGCAGTTCAGTGGATCCCTCGTTGGAGAACTAAAACAGATTAAACGTCGTCCTCGTTAGTCTTCCAGAGCTGGGAAATGTTTAAGTCAATTGTTTCTGTACTTACTTGAAACATTAGCAGGAGAACGTTTCACAATCATTAAGAAAATAATTTACGCAGTTTTAGTAATAGAAGTAGATAAACTATTTGTGCAATATATATTATTTCTCTATCTAAAATTAATCATGCATCTCGTAATTTGTATTCATTTTTTGTAATACGACTTATAGATTAGTTTATCGTAAATGTTTGTGGACAAGCAGGAATTGGCAATGGTTTGTTATACTTACTTCGTTCTTTATATCTTTATTGTAGTTTTTCGTCATATCAAATTTACAATTTATCTTTAGTCAGAGTTTATTAAAAATATCTAATACGAGCAACACTTTGTATATTTAAAATTCATAGAAAAATGGTAGCTTTAACATCGTGAAGAAGCAAGACACGCTAGTTATATTGAATTCTTGTATGTATTAGATTAGTGCAAAAGTTCTTGCCTATCTTTCGATAGCAGAACTCACACATCTACATCGAAGTACGATGAGCTCTGATCCGTTTCTAAAAATTAGGCACGAACTTTTGCACTGACCTAATATAAATCATACTCAATAAGTGTCATACAAAATTAAGATTCCCCTTTGTATACAATATATATATATCAACAGTGTACAATGTTCAAAAGTTCGATGGTATAAAATGTATGAAAATTATTTGATTGTTAAAAATAAATTCATTTCAATTTACATAGCCGCAGAATTTCATTTCGATCTACAGCCACTTCCTCCAATATTTCCTCGTTACTATTCGACTTTGATAACCGTGTTCTTCATGGCATATTCCTTTGTGAATTCGGTGACTATATTTTTGATAGACACGACGGGCAACGGTGGCAATGGCCCGGGGTGCCGTTTCCTGTGACAAATCAGTCCAGGTTTCTGCGCGAATGCCTGACCGCAAATGTCGCAGACATAAGGTCTCTTCCCCGTGTGGATCAGCACGTGCTGCTCCTGAGCAGTCTGCCTCCGGAACGATTTCCCGCAAACGGGACACGGAAACGGCTTCACGCCCGTGTGTACCCGCATGTGGGAATCGAGGTCCCGGCCGCGGAACCGTTTCCCGCAGGTGGGGCACAGCACCTTTTCCCTGGTTTCGTGCCACGTCAAATGCTGCTCCAAATTCTCCTGAGTCGTCATACCTCTTCTGCATATACGGCAAACGAACTCCGGTTTATAGTGTCTGTATTTCATGTGAGCCTTCAGAGCGTGCAGGTTCTTGCTGAAGTGACCGCAGACGTCGCAGACTATGGGAGGCGCGTCGCTGTGATTCTGTTTCACGTGGTGGTTCAACGCTTTCTTTATCTTGAACTGTTTCCCGCAAGTGTCGCAGGAGAAGTCGTAGTTGCTGGTGTGCAACCGGATGTAGTGGTTCTTCAAGGTGCCTTTGTTGTTACTTTTGTACTCGCAGACGCTGCAGTCGTACACGTGGCGTCGGTGGATCTTGTCTACGTGGGAAATGAGAAATCGGCGGAGTCGAAAAGTTCTCGGGCAGTCGGAGCAGGTGTGCCTGTGCTTCTTCAGGTGTTCTATTAAATTATTCTTGTTGAGGAACTTTCGTTGGCAGTGATCGCACTCGAAAAATGATCTCCTCTTCGATCGTCTCGTCATTTTCTGATCTTTTCTTAAGCTCTCTTGTTGATCGTCGAAATTCTCTTTGTCGAGCCAATTAATGTACCCATCGGGGTATTCCAGCGACGAATCTGATCGAGCGTCGAGCTTGAATTCGTTGCTGAGGGGATCCAGGCACCTAAAACAATAAATTAAGGAGATCGTGTTATCGTTGGCTTGCGAGCAAATAAGAAATCTTAAAGGTAAATCGTGGCACTGGTATCCTGAAACGATATTTCTTTATCGAACGATTTAGGCAAACATTAGAAAATTTCAAACACCGTATCATCGTCGATTACTTAAGATTATAGCCAGGATTTCTTTAAAATAAATGAAATCTTATCTCAGTATTAATCATACCTTGTTGAACCAGCGTCAGTGAGAGCCTGGAAATGTTTAAACTGTTATTTATTATTTGAACGGTATACTTATCTTGAGGATCCTAGCAATTTTTATTATCACAGAATCGTGCAACCTCTGAATGATCGCTGTGAATGATACACGCGTGTGTCATTGATCAGTCTTTATTGGCATCGTGTCGCGCGGGGATTAGGAGGAGAATAGACGTCAGTAAAAATATTTATTTCAAACTCAAAGCTATACACAGCGCGTATGTCCTTACGTAAGTGTATTAGACTAACGATAAGGTATTGATTTTTAGAAAAATAACCCTCGTGGGCGTGCTTTCTACCGAGTCTCCCATTCTCTCACGGTTTCCCTGTTGGAAAATCGTCGAGGTGGTCGCTCGGGTAATCTTCGTACACGTGCGTCAGACACAAACAATGAACGCGTTTATGTTACAGACATTCTCTTAGGAGGACTAGGTTCTAGTAATTAGTGTCATATCACAAGGTGTACGTATCGAGCACGCGCGATTCGTTACACACGCGAATAATGTTCCTCTGGATTTGAAAAATTAATCATCAGAATATTTTTTACGGTAGAGCAAAACGTACTAACGAAATGGAAGCTAAAATAAAGATCGTTCATTTAGCTTCTTTATAATTTTAATTTGAGGCAAGCAAAATAATTAAATTATGTTTAAATTGTTCGTCGAAGTTTATGATTGAACAATTCGATTCCAAATCGTTAATATCTCTGCTCAAAGCATTCCCATTCACATGATTGGTTTCAACTGGAAATTAAACAATTCATCTATAATCCAACAAATCAAGTATATCTTGGTATTCTCACTGCATAGCTAATAAGTGCGTATTTAATATCAATCATAACTTTATGAACGATGAATCCGGTTTTAAAATATCTTAGCGACGTCGTAACTGACTTTTAGACTTTGCAGGTAAATTGAAAGGAAAATTGAAAACAGATGTCATAGTTGGTTCATCCACGCCTTTCATTTACAAGGACTGTTGTTACTATTATTTATACATCTTACGTTTCTAAGCTTACAGTTACACGCGTTACGTCTAAAAATAATTATCGTTCTTATAGTGTTCTCATCCTTCGATGGTATACAAAGTATCTAAAAGTTTCGTTAACCGAGTGACGATTGAACAATTTTTGGGCGAGAATAATGCCTCTTTCTCTCGTTGTTGAAGCATTCTATTACCCGCATTGTACAAAAACGAAATCTGCATCGTTTTAAATATATTTCAGATACTTAGCGTAACAATAAAAATGTTTCAGAAACTGCTAGATAATTAATTACTATTTGATTGATAATCAATTATCATTGATTACAATGATTATAGGTAAAAATGATTAAATTTATTATTCGATAAATAAGAAATAGGTAAACATAAAACTCACTAATGTCTCTTTTCTTGATTAGAAAGTAAAACTATAGAAAAAACTTCAAAAATCGATTATCTCGTTAATATTTATCCTTCAACGACGAGAAGAAACAGGATGGTTCCTACGAGTCTAGGTTCATACCTATCAGTTCGTCGTTCAAAAAAAAAAAAAAATTCATTTTGTCACCGACATGCAGATACATTCGGAACAATTGTTGGGTAATGATTAAGGCACGAGTGGACGAAGATGCTGTGTAACATTCTCTTATACGACGACCACCAACTAATTTTCATAACTTACCTCTCCTGATCTGAAATAGGTATCGATTTAATCATCAACAGAGCGAATTAAAAGTAATACAGTTGTAAACATTACAATCATTAGAGAATAAAATGAAAAGGATGGGAGAAAATATTTGTAAATGACTTTTCGGCGAAGTTACAGAACACCTTAATCCACGAGTCTTTAATCGTTCGTTCCCAATCGATTTAAGTATCAAGCGAAACGAATTTTCAACTACTCCTACGCCTCTTCCTCGATTCTCTCCTCGTTCTCGCGCGCATTTATCTCCTGCACGTATCCCTCGGTGAACTCCTTCACGATATCCGCGATGGGCATCACGGGCAACGGGGGATGAGGACCCGGGTGGGTTTTCCTGTGACAGATCAAGCCGGGCTTCTGGGTGAACGCTTTACCGCAGATGTCGCAGACGAACGGCCTCTTCCCGGTGTGTATGAGCAAATGCTGACGCAGCTGCGATCTCCTGGCGAACGGTTTGTTGCATATCAAACAGGAATGTGGCTTGCAACCAGTGTGCACCGCCATGTGCCTCTTGAACGAGTCCTTCTTGGTGAACGTCTTCCCGCACTCGGCGCAGACGATCTTCTCCCGCTTCTCGTGCTGCGTCAACAGATGCTGGTCCAGATTCTCCTGCGTCACCATACGCCGTTTGCATATGTGACACTCGTACTTCGGTTTGTAATGAGCCCATTTCTGGTGGACGTACAGAGAGCCGCTGTTCTGGCAGAGTTTCCCGCAAACATCGCAGTTTATTGGTTTCTCCTTGTGATGGAATCGCACGTGGTTGGTCAGATCGCCTTTCACCTTAAATTTCTTCGTGCAGAATTTGCACTGATGCTCGTAACGATCGGTGTGCTTGCGAATGAAGTGCGACTGCAGCGAGTGCTTTGACCTACAAACGAACCCGCAAGCAGCGCACGGGAACAGCACGGTGTTCGGTCGTTTCTTGGACCAAGTGTCGTGCTTACGTTCCAGGTGACCAGCGAACTGGCTCTTCTTATGAGTCCTGTAATCGCAGACCGTGCATATGTAAATCCCGTCCTCCTGAATGAACAGCTTCTTCTTGTGCGTCCACGCCACGTGCTTTTTGAACGACACCGCGGAGCTGAACGTTTCAGAACAGGCTTTGCACTTCAACGTCACACCGGTCGTGTTCTTGGACGGTTTCCTGCCCCTCTTCGCAGGCGTCGTCGCCGTGTGATTGTTCATCTCTAGCATCTCCTCCTCTAAATATTCCACTTGCTCCACTTGGTCTTGATCCTGATCCTGGTCTTCGTTCTGACCTTCCTGCTCTTGAACCTGTCCCGGATCGTCCTCAATCTGTTCCAGCTGCTCCTGTTCGGTATATTCTTCTTCCTGCTCTTCCTGATACCACTTCCGTTCTAAATTCTCCTTCGTGTCGTTGACCTCCTCCTCGTTGGATGTCAATTTCTCTATGGTCACCATACTACCCTGTACCTTCACCTGATACAAATCCCCTAATTTATCGTTATCGTCGATGGCACCGTCGATGGTACCGTTCAATATGATCGGTTTAACGTCGTCCTCGGCTTCTCGCTGCTCCACGTTCGTTTCCAACACCTGCTCCTCCTCGTACAGCCTCTCCTCGGGTGAGTCGTACGGCAGATCCACCTCTTCGTCGTACAACTCGACTTTAAACATTTCCGGTTTCTCGTCTTCGTTACCAGTTTCCTCGATCTGCTCGGGGATGTCTTCCTCGGCCAGCGGCGTGTCGCCTTCAGGTACAAACGCGTAATACGGTTTCCCGTCGAACTCCAGGATCTGCCATTTCTTCATCACGACCGACTCCTTGTTGAAGATGAAGATGCCGCGCGAATGAGGACCGCTGAGCACGAACCTGAAACATCATCGACCGATCGCGTTAATCAGGGGTCAGCCAGGTCTCGTTTCTCATTCGGGAAGCTCGCAAAGCGACTCGCTTTCATCATTCATTATACGTCGCTCGAGGAGACCTTGTTATACGCGGTCGTTAGCACGTCGAGCGGTAATTAGCGTTGGTCACAATCGAGCCGATTATCACGAGAGGAAGGAGGTTTGCTAGAGGAATAGTGTGGCGATGCTAGAGCGAGCGATTACAGTGAAGCGTACGAGAATGAACATACCGAGATTTCAACGAGGATCGGGTAAATAATTCTTTATTAACGTTACACTTTATTTCTCGCCAGTATTTTGCGACGACGAGTCTCAAGTCAATGTACAAGAAAAAATTGTCAATTGTAAGAACAAGAATTATATACGTTTCATGAACTGCAAGACTGCACACATCGCATACGTAAAGCTTCGTTCCTGTGTGCAGCAGTAAATGTTGGTTCACATTGCCGGAAGTGCCGAAGTACTTGTCGTGCTTGACAAATATCACAGGGGAATAGGGTTTTCGGTTGCTTTTAAGAGTTCGAAGAATTCGAGATTTTATTATCTGTGTCTTTTTAATGAGGAGAGTTTCGTGAATCATTTTTAACAAATATCACAGGTCGAAGTCTTCCAATCTTGCGAGGATCCACTTGCGATGTTCGACGGAACATGTCCTTTCCTAAAACAGGATAATAATTTGTTTATTAGGGTTCCAAGTGTGGAAATACTTGACATTTACTTACAATCATAATTGACAGTTGAAATCCAATTTACACGAGCATAACATAGAATATACACAAGCAGAGTAATAACATCAATTATAAATTGTACATTGAGAGAAATTTTCACTTTTTATTTAAACAAATTTGTAATAAAATTTATCATTTAATTGAAGTACTAATTGTAGTATGACTATTAAATTGTTCAGAGTTAAAATAGTGGTACGTTGAAGATTTTCAGAAGATATGCAACGTATTTTTAACTGTATCGACGGTGTGTATTCGACTGGCAAAAATCTATAATAGAAGCAATCGTTTCTCTTTATGGCACTCCAAGGATGCACAATTATCGATCAGTTGTTAAAGACGAACATCCTGAAATAGCTCTACTGAATTTTTCCCTGAAACATAAAACACCGTCAATACGATTAAATCTCGAGTCAGTCATATTCTATCAAGCGTGACAATACTTACCTGTTGACATACACATCGGCTGGAAGACAGTTTCATAAATTAAATCGTTGATTGCACTAATACAGAAATCACTGAATTTTATATAAAACGTAATTGAACGAAATAAATAATTTAATCTATATTATTAGGGAATAAGTTTTGGCGATTAAAAATATGAATTCGTCGGGAGATTCTGTTCAAAATAAATTCATATTATTATCTCTTGTATACAATGTATTTCACAATATAGCTCTATTCCCCGAAAGATTTATTCGTTCCTACAAAAAAGTCACTTAATCTCGTTTGCTTTACCGAAGGAATACATCCAGAATGATTGATCATAATACGAAGGGCACGAATATCTAAGAAAATCACGACATAAAATAAAACTACAAAAATTAAATAGGTATAATTAAAATGAAAAAAATCAAAATCAATTTGCAACTATTGCTTAACGATACGTAATAAAAATCGAAATTAGCGTGCTGAAGGAAACAATTGCTTTGTAATCCAGTCAGTCATACGTAATGAATAAAAAAGAAACAACCGATCGTTCGTTTTCGCATGAGAAAATTCGTCTCTAACGATTCAATTGATATCCTTTTTCATGAAGTCGCTCAGAATATGTTCTATGTGCACGACGGGCAACGGGGGATGGACGCCGGGGTGGGACTTCCGGTGACAAATCAAGCCAGGCTTTTGAGTGAACGTCTTGCCGCAGATATCACAGGTATACGGTCGCTTCCCGGTGTGGATGAGCAGGTGCTGTCTGTACGCGGTGCGCCGAGCGAACGCTTTGCCACAGATGTGGCAGTCGAAAGGCCTGTCGCCGGTGTGCGTCATCATATGCTGCCTAAGCCGATGATTCTCGTTGAACACCTTCCCGCATTCTTCGCAGACGAAGCTCTCCCGCCTCTCGTGTTGCAGTAGGATGTGCTGGTCCAGGTTCTCCTGCGTGACCATCCTCCGTTTGCAGATCTCGCACTCGTACTTCGGCTTGAAGTGGGCCCACTTTTGATGAACGTACAGAGAGTTACTGTTCGAACAGGTCTTCCCGCAGACGTCGCAAACGATCGGCCCTTCTTTGTGCTTGAACCGCACGTGCAGTCTCATGTCGCCCTTCACTTTGAACTTCTTCCCGCAGTACTCGCAATCGTACTTGTACTCCGACGCGTGTTTCCGCTCCAGGTGTTCTTTCAACCTGCGCCTACTCGGGCACTTGAACTCGCACACGTCGCAGGAGTACGAGTCTGGCTCTGTATAATAACTGTTCTTCTTTTTCCGCGGAACAGCGCCCGGATGCTTCCTACTGATGTGCGAATGGAGAGTGGATTTGTTTGTGGTTTCGTATTCGCAGAAGCTGCAGATATACGTCAGACTGTCTCCGTCCTTTGCCTCTTCCTGTTCTTCCGCTTTGTGCTCTAACGCGATGTGCATCTTGAACGCTACCAGGCTGCGGAATATCTTGAAGCAGACTTTGCACTTGTAACGACCGGCTTGCTCGTGCACCGCGCTCTTGTGCAATTCGAGCATTTGCATCACGGGGAAACAGATGTTGCACTCTTCGCAAACGTACAAGCTGTTATCGTCGCTGTTCTCTCCCTTGAGTGACACTCGGTCCTCTTCCTTTATTTTAACGGTGCACTGATCGTCGTCGATCCTTTCTTCTTCGGGAAGATCTATCGAGATCACTTGCGTGTCATCTTCGTTAGTTCTGGGGATATCCTCTTTCGATTTCTCGCCTTCCTTCGGCAGGAAGGCGTAGTACAGGCAACCCTCCACGTCGACAACCTGCCACGGCTGCATCGGAATCGTTTCGTTGCCGTATATAAAACGTCCGTCCCCGTTTAGCGCCCTGAAAAGCACAGAACCGGTCAGTTAGGAATTTCACGTAACAGTCTCCCGGGTTAATTCGACAACTTCCACTGTTCCGACGGGTTCATTAACATTAATGCAATTTCAGACGCTTATATAACTGCCTGCAATGAGTCTCGGAGGAAATGTGTCAGGCTCACAATCGTTTTGCTGACGCGTTACCGATAATTGTCGGTTGGGCTTGGTTCGTTGCGAATGGAAGGTCAAACCGATCATTGCTCGACGACACTTCTGGTTTCAAATGTGGGATGTATTACATTAAAAAAAGAATGTATTGCGACAGGTGTTGTACATAAATGTCAATTATATACACTTGGAGCGTTACAAAAACGAGTGGAGCTGCGAAGCTTTACAAATAATTTAACATTCTAATTCGGAACGCTTGCCTGGTGTAACAAGCTTCTTATTTCCTACGAACGTGAAATCACATAATCAATACAAACTTTAATAAAAACCTTAAGAGTAAATTCATTCTTTACATAACAAGATAAACTCGAACGTCTTAATTGCACGAGGTTGTACATCGTTTGTCTTCTATTTAAAGATCGTGATACGAAATCCCCTTGATTCCAGTTGGGCATAATAATTTGTTCAACGAAAATATCTTGTTACACGTTACGATATTCAAACTTATTTCAACGAAACTGACATGTCTTTTCCTTATCAATTTATCATAGAATAAAAAAAAAATTATTGAAATCTCCTGATCAAGAAATGTTCGAAAGTCTCTGAAGCAGACTGTTCTGTACGGTCAATGTCAGTTGTTCATCACGTCGTTTAATATGTGATCGATCAATACTCTGGGGAGCGGCGGATGCGATCCGGGGTGAGACTTCCTGTGGCTGATCAAGCCAGGTTTCTGCGTGAACGCTTTGCCGCAGATATCGCAGACGTACGGCCTGATTCCGGTGTGGATCAACAAGTGTTGCTTGAGCGCCGTTCGACGGGCGAAAGACTTGTTGCAGACGGTGCAAGAGTGAGGTCTGTCACCCGTATGAACTCTCATGTGAATCTTCAACCTGCTGTTCCTGGAGAAAGTCTTGCCGCACTCCTCGCAGACTACGTCCTCCCGCTTCTCGTGCTGCCTGATCATGTGCTCGTTCAAGTTCTCCTGAGTGACCATTCGCCTCTTGCATATCTGGCACTCGTACTTCGCCTTGTAGTGAGCAAACTTCTGATGAACGTACAGAGAATTGCTGTTTAGGCACGTTTTTCCGCAGACGTCGCAGATCACCGGTTGCTCCTTGTGGCTGAAGCGCACGTGATTCGTCAGATCGCCTTTCACTTTGAACTTCTTGCCGCAGGTCTCGCAGTTGAACTTGAAATCGTCGGTGTGCTTCCTCGCCACGTGAACTTTCAATTCGTATTTATTCTTGTTCTTATAATCGCACTGATTGCAGTAATATAACGGCGGCTGTCCATCAGGAGTGCTGTACTTCGGCTCCTTGTGCTTTCTCTGTATGTGTGAATACAGAGACGATTTTTTATTCGAGTTGTACGGGCATTCATTGCACAGGTACACTGGAGGCACGTCTAAATGTTTCTGTTTGTGCGAGTACAGAGTGCTGCGCTTCAGGCATTTGAAGTCGCACACGTTGCACTGTCTCTCGACCGGTTCTTTATTCGCTTGTTTCTTGCGAGGAGCCGCGGTCGGTTCGCTTTTGCATTCTTCAACCATGGACAGAATCACTGTCGTAGTTTCGTCTTTATCCTGGTCCTGCGAACAAGTTTCCTTCACCGGCTCCTTCTTAGGACTGTCTTCGTCGTTGCTCTTCGTCGTTTTGCATTTCCTTTTAGGGCTCGCTTCTTCTCGTCCTACGTCGATTCGCTGGTGATTCTGTACGACATGTGAGACCAAAGTGGTGCTCCTCTTGCAGACGAAGTTACAAATGCGGCACGAAAAATATGCGGTCTTCCTACTCCTATGCTTCTCCATGTGCACGCTCAAACTAGACTGATTGTCGAACTTCTGGTTACAAACTATGCACGAACTCCTCTTCGAATCTTCCTTCACCGACTTGTGTTCCTTCTTCGTGTGAACAGTTAACGCGGATTTCTTGCTGCAACTGAAATCACAGGACTTGCAAACGTATTTCTGTTTCACCGCAGATTTTTGCTTAGCACGTTTCACGGAGCTCTTGATCTTCGATTTTGCTTGATTCTTGTCAGCTAGTTTCTTGCGATACAAGGAAGTTAGTTTATGCGAGATCGCGTGTCTCGTCAGCATCCTCTTCGTTGGGAACTTCATGCCGCACTTTTTGCAATCGTGAAACGCGATTCTTATATTCGATTTATATATCAGATTTTTGGACGCCAGATCGTTGACGTATGAATCACTGAGATCTTCCGATTTCACGGATACCAAACAGATCTTCGAAGCCTCTTCAGATTTTTTCGTATCGTCAGCGGGCATCAGGGAGTATCGCAATTTCCCTTTGGAGTCAACGTGTTGTAACAACTGCATCGGCACGAAATCCTTTCCGACGATCAATCCACCGGACGAATCTAGACCTAGAGTAATCTTCTTCTTGCTAGCTCGTTCCCTAAAACACAAAAACGGAAACGGTACGATTAACGCCGCGGTAATCGCGTTCAGTCCCTCAGTTACAGACAGACGTTACTTACTGCTGATCTAAGTCGTCTTACGGATTGCGATTAACGTCTCTACGATTGTGTTTTATAATACAAAGGTGACAAGCGTTCTCTTTTTAAATTCGGATTACATCGTGTCTTTATTTCTTCAATTTCGTACCACACTTAAAATCGTATAAGTGTTCGTATAATATTAATTAAATGAAAAAGAGAAATGGATATACACATAATTTCGTATACATAAAGTGAAACAAAATTACAAATAGAGCCGTGCATTTCACTGTTTGTCCATATTAAAGGAGTTTCTTATTATTCGTCAACTTTCGAAGGCGACGAGGGTCTGTACAATTTTTCAAATAAATAGTATACACGCATTTCGCTTATACTATGAATCTCTAAAGTGATTTGTTCCATTAAAAGATTACATGAGTAGACATCGAACGGCAGGAATTAGATTTCATCCCTCTTCGGCCCTGCCAAGAGGTACAGGGGGTGAAGTGAGGTGCGCGTCAGGGTGCTTCCTACGATGTTCTATCATATAATATCTCCTCTTGAACGACTGTCCGCACAGATCGCAAACGTGAGGCCTGTCCGCGGAATGCGTTAACATGTGTCTGTTCCTCATGTGGGAAGTACGAAAATTCTTCTCGCAGACGTGGCACGTGTACGGTTTGACACCAGTATGTGTGGTCACATGCGTGGCCAGGTATCTCTTCGTCGCAAATACTTTCCCGCAGTCCTTGCATTCGTAAGTCCTGCTGTGCTGCAGCATGTGGTTGTCCAGATTCTCCTGTGTCAACAGTCTCTTGTTGCACACGTTGCACCGGAATTTGTACTCGTTCAAATGGGCCACTTTTCTATGCTTGTACAAGGAGTAATCACTGGTGTAGAATTTCCCACAGACGTCACACATGTGCCGCGAATTGCTGTGCGTACCGACGTGGAATTTTAGGTCCCACTCGATTTTGAACCGCTTCCCGCAGAACTCACAGGCGAATTTGTAATCATCCGTGTGCTTCCTGATGTAGTGCGACTTCAAGTTGTTCTTCGTCTTCGTACGGTACTCGCACTTGTCACAGCAGTGTAACAAACTCGAATCAATCTCTTGGTGAACGAGTTTGTGCGCTTTTAGGTCGCATTTGTATTTGAACGTCTTGTCGCAGGTGGGGCATTTGAAGGGACGGTGGAAGCTATGCTTGCTGGTGATGTGCCGGAGGATCTTGCTCTTCTGCTCGAATGTCGTTTGACAAATATCGCAGGTGTAACTCCCATCGTGAAGCTTGTATAAATCTTCCTGTTCAGAACTCTTTTCGTTAGTCTTCTTCTGTGGTTTGCCCGTTGAATCGGAAGAGAGTCTTTTTGCAAGTGAATCTTCTTCACTATTTATTTCTAGATTCTTGCAAGAACTGCTGTTTGTTTCGGGAGAATTGCTCGAGCACTTGTTCCTTAGTCTGCGGCTCCTCGAAGTTCGGAACGCGATACTTCGTAGGACGATCGACGTGTCAGTCTTCGGGCTTCGCTGCGCTGGTCGGCTAAGCCTAAAACATGAATAAAACGTGTCAGTAAAAAGGATTTATCTGAATCACATTTAGGCAAGGGAGCTCTTAGGATCTTTACTTCGTCTTCGAAAGCGATCATAGATAACGTCATCCTTGAACAGTTTAAATGTCACACTTTTTATATTTCGATATAATATTCGTCGACAATGCAAAATCGTATCAATCTAGTTGGTACGAACACTTGGCACTTCGCATTGCAAAAATTTGCACATGGGAAAAAAAATCCAAGTGCAAGCTTGATATATTTTTTTTAAACACCATGAACGGTCATAGAATATCGACCTAAGAATTATTAATTGAAATTGCAATACTTACTTCTCATGCACGCAATTAAAACATTTAACACAGACCCGATTATGAGGTTTGTTTCCTCTCACTAACACTTCAGGATGCACTTATTGGTATCATGTTATGCTTGTTAATCTTAATCCCTTTCTGATTCATTCTTTCTCTTGTGTTGTATGAATTCTTATTTAGAATTTCATATATGTTTTTCTCTTTTTTTCTTTTATCTTTTGTCCTTTACTTTTACTGTATGTATTACTTCTATTGTATGCTGCAATGAACTCTGTTCTTGAATAAAGTATTATTATTATTATTTCAGTTCCTGATGATGTTTGAAGATCACTGACACAGACAACTACGAAACATATTTGCTATTTTAATTGTAGAAAATCAAATATTTATTTTAAATCATATTTAAATTAATTTTACATACATCACAATTGCATTGTTAACAAATACAAACAAATAAACAACTTATCTTAAACAAACATGAAAGAAATAAATAATATTTTAAGTTTCTTCATTAAAAAAAAACGAAAAACCTACTGGAGTTTCTCTCCAGTCTCATGTTGATCCCAACCTGTGCGTTTCTACACGTTGAGAAAATATTTTAATCACGTTTATCAAAAGAAAAAACACACCTACTGGAGTTTCTCTCCAGTCTCAAGTTGATCCCCAACCTGTGCGTTTCTACACGTTGGGAAAATATTTTAAGAGTCTCGTTTATCAAAAGAAAAAAAAAACACCTACTGGAGTTTCTCTCCAGTCTCACGTTGATCCCCAACTTATGCGTTTCTACACGTTGGGAAAATATTTTAAGAGAAAACAAAAAAGAAAAAAGATCGAAAGAACAAAAAATACTGGTGCTTCTTAGCTCTACGTTGATTTTCGCCTGTGCCTTCTTACATGTCGGAAGAGGTCCTTCTTTTGTCGAAACAAGAGACTGCACACGTCACACTCGAAGCCAATTAGGTGTTGCTCGAGGTGCGCCCGAATTAGTTTCAATTCTCCAAACTTGCTTGAACACTGAAGGCACTTATAGATACGAATTTTGTAATTATCTCCGTTCCGTCCTGTTACCCACTTGCTCTTAAACTCATATTTCAAGTTGATGTAATTTGGTTGAGTCGAGCTGTGAATCGGGAAGGGAGGACAAACAGCTTTGTGAGAAGAAAAAACGATATAATGCGCGCGAAGCTGGTACTTGCTCCTATAGACCCTCCCGCATATCAAGCAGCGGCACTTTATTCGCACGTGCTCTTCCCGATGACACCTACTGGAGTTTCTCTCCAGTCTCACGTTGATCCCCAACTTATGCGTTTCTACACGTTGGGAAAATATTTTAAGAGAAAACAAAAAAGAAAAAAGATCGAAAGAATAAAAAAGCTCTACGTTGATTTTCGCCTGTGCCTTCTTACATGTCGGAAGAGGTCCTTCTTTTGTCGAAACAAGAGACTGCACACGTCACACTCGAAGCCAATTAGGTGTTGCTCGAGGTGCGCCCGAATTAGTTTCAATTCTCCAAACTTGCTTGAACACTGAAGGCACTTATAGATACGAATTTTGTAATTATCTCCGTTCCGTCCTGTTACCCACTTGCTCTTAAACTCATATTTCAAGTTGATGTAATTTGGTTGAGTCGAGCTGTGAATCGGGAAGGGAGGACAAACAGCTTTGTGAGAAGAAAAAACGATATAATGCGCGCGAAGCTGGTACTTGCTCCTATAGACCCTCCCGCATATCAAGCAGCGGCACTTTATTCGCACGTGCTCTTCCCGATGTTTGTCCAAATCATTAGGCCTCTTGAAAGCCTCTTGGCACACCGAGCAAATGTATTTGTACCACATGGAGCATTTATGATTTCCTAAGGAGAACTCGCTGTTGAAGGTTCTGTTGCACTTGACGCACTTGTACGGCTGTTTAATTTCACGTTTTGAGGGTGTTTCAGATTTCAAGGGGATCAACTCATGCCGGATGGGATGTTGGATGGAGGATACTTGCTGAGGAACCGACTCGATCGACCGTTCAAAAATCGGTGGCTTGCAATCGCTATTGATAGGTTGTCGATGGTTTGTATCTTCCAGCATTACTTCTTCTTTAATTATTACCTTCACCTCTAACGCGTTTTCGTACGAGTTCGATTTTTCTTGTCGAGGCATCGGGGATGTGTAAGCTGATCTGTAAATGAAAGAAGAATGTTATTCGAGGGTGAATTGATTTATTCATTTTCTCACACAATTATTTTTACGTAGTTTCTTCAATGTTAGGCGTCGCTGAAAGAGATTTATGATTAGAATAATAAATCACGCTTCTCTTAAATAACTATATCGGTTCGTTTTTATTTTATATTCGATTTTTCATATGATACACCAGAACAGTAAAAAAAATTGCACTTTTAGTAACTCCTAAAAGAGACAGGACGAAGGGAAGGACAGGTTTGGGATTAAAGACACGTTAAAGATTAAGGATTCATTTTTGTACAATGTATCAGTAATATAATAATTAAAATGTTATAGATAATGTGATAGAGGTAAATGTATTTCTTTCCTGAAATTTACAGATCGAAATTTTCTCTCGTAAGATCATCGATGACTATATTACATATTTTACCTTGTACTCTTATATTAAACATAGAAAAGCTTGTCGATTTGGAAAGCGTCGATTTCAGCTGAATGACCAAGTCGCGAAACGATTCTCTCGTTTAATATATTACAGTAATCTTACGCTGTACATTACCTGTCAACCTGTTGAACAAGAATAATTATAATCTTTAAATCGACCGCGAGACAATCTTCGTTTAATAAACTTATTAATAATTCAAAATCCTTGATTTGTTAAAGTTTCATTCCGCATAATGAGAATCATGTTACGCTCTTGTAACTTGAATTGAGAACGTTCAACAAAATTCAACGTTGATTAGTATTAATGTCGATTTGGAAAGCGTCGATTTCAGCTGAATGACCAAGTCGCGAAACGATTCTCTCGTTTAATATATTACAGTAATCTTACGCTGTACATTACCTGTCAACCTGTTGAACAAGAATAATTATAATCTTTAAATCGACCGCGAGACAATCTTCGTTTAATAAACTTATTAATAATTCAAAATCCTTGATTTGTTAAAGTTTCATTCCGCATAATGAGAATCATGTTACGCTCTTGTAACTTGAATTGAGAACGTTCAACAAAATTCAACGTTGATTAGTATTAGAAAAATAAAAAAAATATAATTTTTGTTTCGACATATGATTTAAAGGATAGGGATTATGCAATTTTAAAAATGTGAATATTAACTTTCGAGATACATTATCCGTTATTAGATTGATGAATAAAATAAATTGTCTATTCTCCTATGATTGATTTGATCGATCAAGCACCAGTTTTATCACGTCAAACAGATGCACTCGATATACAACAGAAAAAAAGTTTTCGTATCACGCAACCCGATGAAAAACATCGAATCTTTCGATGAACACTATAGAACTCACAGAAATCACTGATCTCTACAGAATCCTGGTTAGTGGAT